CTTACAACTGATTTCCAAATGAGATCAAACCCTCTAATGGGCTGACATGACAAAGCAGAAATCTCCTTAAATTCTTAAAATGCATTCGCTTCAAAGGGTTTTACTATAAAGGCGGAAATGATTTCTGTGTATTCCTAAAATAACTAAAACTGAATTAAAATGTACAAAGGTATGTGTGTGTGTGTGTGTGTGTGTGTGTGTGTGTGTGTGTGTGTGTGTCTGTATTTGTATCTGTACTGTATGTGTGTGTGTGTGTGTGTGTGTGTGTGTGTGTGTGTGTGTGTGTGTGTGTGTGCGCGCGCGCGCGCGTGTGTGTGTGCGCGCGCGCGCGTGTGTGTGTGTGTGTGTGTGTGTGTGTGTGTGTGTGTGTGTGTGTTCTGGTCTCCAGGCGTCTGGTCCTGAGTCAGTTTCCCGGGCGACACCTGGCTATGGTGTTGTGATGAGAGACCATGTGTTAATTAAAGCCCCATCTGTGAGGACGAGTCCATCTTCACACACTCACACACAGGGGACACACACACACAATACACTCTGTGATACCTGAACACACACACACACACACACACACACTGACTCCTCTGTGCTTTGTTCATTCCTCATAAGGAGTGTGTGGGAAACAGAGGAAAGATCAGTGTGTGTTTGTTTTCTCATCAGTGTGATGATGTGTGAGAAACTGTGGTCACCGGATTAAACACCCGACGGACCTGGCGGATAAACACACACACACACACACACACACACACACACACACTGAACTACTGAGAAAGATAAAGCTGCAGCATTTCCTGAGTTCTAGACATCAGTCTCATGTTTTAATAACAGTAATGGAGGACGTCCAGCGGTAAGATGAGGAGGGGTCGTGTTTTGTTCGTGCTGTATGTCAGGTAAGGACGTCAAAGTCTACCCAGGTGAAAAAATATATAATTAAATGCAACTAAAATACACTTAAATACTTAACACTTAAAGTTGTGTTAAATAAAAGTTTGATGGTTTTACACTATAAATATCCTGATTAAAAGTATGTTTATACTTCAGTAGGACTTTAGTACACTTGACAAAAGTATACTAAATACCAGTAATACTTAAATAAATGTTTAGTGTACTACAATAAAGTACACTACAGAAAAAACATCCAGAAGAGTTTTATTAGTGTGTTTTTCAAAAGTGTGCTTTAAATGCTTTTAACATTAGATGATTTTTAGTACAGTGTTTACATACTAATCCTAAGCTTAAAATAAGTTAATATTTAAAAATCTATTAGTAATGTATTGTAGTAGAAGTACATTTTCCCAAAAGCTGAACTTAAGTACACTTAATGTCAATGCAATATTATCACTAACACTTAATTGATTTTGAGTGTGGAAATTTTAAGCTTATATTAAATTGACTGGTCCCACTTTATATTAAGTGGCCTTAACTAATATGTACTTACACAGGATTTAATAGTTTGTTACAATGTACTTATTGTGTAAATACATGTATTTACTATGTACTTATGCTTGATTAAATACATATATGTAATTACATCTGTATTTAACTTTTGTAATTACATTTGTAAATACACTGTTGACCATCCCTTAAACCTTAACCCACCCTTAAACCTGCCCACACCACCAAACCTGTCCATAACCCAACCTCTATTCCAAGTCAAAAGCACCACAAGTGTTCTCAAATACATCATAAACGCAGTAAGTACATTGTATTTATTTTTTGATGCAAGTACATAGTTAAGGACACTTAATATAAAGTGGGACCAATTGACTTTATTAAAAATCTATTAGTAATGTTTTGTAGTAGAAGTACATTTTCCCCAAATGTCTTTACATTTCATATATGTGCTGTAATGTTGCATCTTATTTATATTTGTGTGTTCTCAGTTTTTGTTCCTTCCATAAGGTATTTTTGCACTTGTGGTTTATTGCACAAAAAGATTAAAGTGTTTTGATGAAGCACAGATGCTGTTTTCTTTTTGTACACACAGAATCCCTTTAAAATATATTCTTTAAATAAATGTTTATTATGTTAAAAGCACATTCTAGATCAGCTTCATGGTGTCTCATAATAGCACAGTTGAGTACACTTAGATGTACTTAAGTTTATCTTAAAAAGTACTTAATGCTAATTTTTAGTACATTAAATACAAAATTAGTTTGGAAAAATCAAGCACTTTTAATACAGTATTTAGCACACTATTATACAATTTGCATATTATTTTAATATATTAAGATTATACTTTAAATTAGTCATAAATATATTTAAATGTTTAAAAGTAGGGTTCAAGTGTATTTATAGTTGTAACTAAATAAATATATTTTAAAGTACAAATATAGTATGTTAAAAGCACATTTAAGTTCAATTTCAGGGTGTCTCAAAATAGCACAGTTGAGTGCACTTAGATGGTATGAAGTTTATCTTAACATATACTTAATATTATCTTTTAGTACATTAAGTACAAAATTAGTGTGCGAAAATAGAGCACTTGTAGTACATTACTGAAAAGTGTACTAAGTATACTTAAATAAAGTGCATTTTAGTGCACTTTTTTTTTTACCTGGGTAAGGACAACGACATTTACTTGGACACTTTTAATGCTTCTGAACAGTTTGCTGCAGTTATAAATCACCCATGTGTTGAGGTAGTTCAATATGTTTTGACAATACCATAACTTCAAGCGTACAACTCGCCTCACACACTGTTTTTCAACATGCTATATAGTAGGGAAGTGTGTGATTTGGGACGCAGCCACTCTCTCTCTCGGAGTCTGCCAGCTCTCTATAGCGCTGTATGAGTTATGCCTCTAAACATATGACGCTTCATTGGGTCCCAGCTGATTGTGCAATCAAATCTAATTACATGTGAGAGCGCTGCTGCGGTGCCAGCGCTGGGTAATATGTTCCTTTTTAATAGCGCACGTCAAAAGAACTGTGTATGAACGGCTCTAAAAGTCACCATATGGAGTCAGGTGCACCAATTTATTTCCTTACTTCCAGAAAAATGGAGCATTCATTTCATCACGGAGACGGAGTTTCCCAACTAACCTGACTTCAGGGATTCACGTCCACTGACTTCCTGCAGATGCTTAAATAAAAGAGTGGCAGAGGCCAAAAACACCTCCACCAGCTCATAAACCAGTCACAATCAATCAATCAGGTATATTGATCATTCATTCAGTCATTCTCCTTCAGCTTAGTGCCTTTATTCATCAGAGGCCGCCACAGCGGAATGAACCGCCAACTATTCCAGCACATGTTTTATGCAGAGGATGCCCTTCCTGCCACAACCCAGTATTGGAAAATGCACACACACACACACACACACACACACACACACACACACACACACACACACACACACACACACACACACACACACACACACACACACACATACACACACACACTCACTACGGCCAGTGTAGTTGATCAGTTCCCCTATAGCGCATGTGTTTGGACTGTGGGGGAAACCAGAGCACTCGGAGGAAACCCACGCCAACACGGGGAGAACATGCAAACTCCACACAGAAATGCCAGCTGACCCAGCTGAGGCTCGAACCAGCAACCTTCTTGCTGTGAGGCGATCGTGCTACCCACTGAGCCACCGCGTTACCCTCAGCATAAATTTATGAAAATCAATATTTGTATTAATTTCTCAGTGAATATAGGCAATGTGTATATTGATGCAGTTTTTAAAAACTGATTTATTAAACTGATATATTTATTAAAGTAATGTTTCACTCACTGAACATCTCTAGAAATAGAAAGATAATACATTTAAATTCAAGCAAAATATTGCAAACCAAACAAATTAGTTTCTGTTGATTTTTCCTGTTTATTAAAACTGTATTTAATATTTTTACCATGTTAATTTGGGCCACTAACATTTTGTCCAGTTTAATGAATTTTGAATGATGTGTGAAAATATGAGCAAACAATTAATGAATATGAAGCAGCCAGACAGTTTCCATTACTGACACATAAATATTTGATTTGATTTTATTTATTTTTATGTTTTTATTATTTTATTTTCATTCATTCATTTTTCTTTTCAGCTTAGTCCTTTATTAATCTGGGGTTAATCTGATCTACTTCTGCTGGTGAGATTCTGAAGTGTGCATCTGATGGATATTTTTATGTTGCTTTAACTTATTTTATTAAGTTATTCAGGGTGCAACTACATTTTTAAGTATTAAAAACTGTGTAACTTAATATTTTTAGACAGTTTGATTGATGTACGTTGAGATTCATTCATTGTCCTTCGGTTTAGTCCCTTTAATCATCAGGGGTCGCCACAGTGGAATGAACCACCAACTATTCCAGCATATGTTTTACACAGCGAATGCCCTTTAAGTCGCAACCCAGTACTGGAAAACATCCATACACACTTATTCACACACACACACATACACTACGATTTAGCCTACCCAGTTCCCCTATAGTGCATGTGTTTGGACTGTGGGGGAAACCGGAGCACCCGGAGGAAACCCACGCCAACACTAGGAGAACATGCAAACTCCACACAGAAACACCAACTGACCCAGCCAGGACTCGAACCAGCGACCGAAGTGCTGTGAGGTGATTGTGCTACCTACTGCACCACCAAGATGCCCTTTTATTTTATTATTTATTTTATTATTTATTTATTTTTATTTTTTTATTTATCTATTTATTTTTTCATTTTATTTCATTTTATTTTATTTTAATTTTTTTCTTTTTTTCATTTTATAATTTTTTTTTCATTTTATTTTATTATTTTATTTTATTTTATTTTATTTTGTTATTTAATTTTATTAAATAATAAATTTGTTTGGACAAGTCTTGTCAACAGGAAACAATCTCTTCCTCTGCTTGTTCAATAAAAGCTCTGTGTGTGTGTGTGTGTGTGTGTGTGTGTGTGTGTGTGTGTGTGTGTGTGTGTGTGTGTGTGTGTGTGTGTGTGTGTGTGTGTGTGTCTACTACACCACCAAGCTGCCCTTTTATTTTATTATTTATTTATTTATTTATTTCATTTTATTTTATTTTATTTTATTTTATTTTATTTTATTTTATTCATTTTGGCGAGGCAGTGGCGCAGTAGGTAGTGCTGTCGCATCACAGCAAGAAGGTCGCTGGGTTGCTGGTTCGAGGCTCGGCTGGGTCAGTTGGTGTTTCTGTGTGGAGTTTGCATGTTCTCCCCGTGTTGGTGTTGGTTTCCTCCGGGTGCTCCGGTTTCCCCCACAGTCCAAATACATGCACTATAGGGGAATTGGATAGGCTAAATTGTCCGTAGTGTATGAGTGTGTGTGTGAATGTGTGTGTGTAGATGTTTCCCAGAGATTTGTTGTGGCTGGAAGGGCATCCGCTGCGTAAAAAACTTGCTGGAGGAGTTGCCGGTTCATTCCACTGTGGCGACACACACAGACACACACACACACACACACACACACACACACACACACACAGACAAGTGTGCTAATAAAACCCTAGACCTGGATGTTAGAACTTGTAATGGTGAATCCCTGGGGTGTATTTGGCGTCTGTCATAGAAATTGTGTGTGTGTGTGTGTGTGTGTGTGTGTGTGTGTGTGTGT